AGGAATGCTAAACTGCATATCCTTTCTTAGTTGTTTTTGTCAGTTTGACTTTCAGTGTACCTCTGCATTGGCACCTCTCTGCTGTGTTTATTGTTATGAACAATCTTTATTGTCTGAGACAGCAGATAAAATGGGCCCTATTTAAGTCCCATTCAAATCCTCAAAATAAGATGGTAGTAGTAGAAAGGACTTTGGCTACAATTAAAGCAAACATGAGGAGGGCAATTTGAGGTATATGGGAGGTCCTGAATGTGGCATGTGTTTACACAAAGTCTGTGCAGATAATGTAGCGTCAACCACTAGCTATACGAGCTGTCTCACTGAATGTTTGGTTTTGAGGCCAGTCTTCCTACACATTTGGTGTAGAGTCTAGTCTTCCTCCCATGGTACAGCCTGTATACACTATGGAGGTCCTTTGGGCATGCTTAGCCAGTTAGGCCTAGTGATCAGCCTTCTGCATGGGAACTTTGCATTCTGTCACTGAATGCAAACAGGCTTTGGGCTCATAAAAGTTAAATGGGAAAGGCCTTAGGTAAAATTCTACATTTTGTATTATAATTGGAACTCAATTTAAAACAGAGATTTTCAATTGTTGTTTTTTCCTCTCTGTCATTACATTCATAATAAAATACAATGAACTGGACTAAGCTGCTGGCTTCACTGAGTTTGACCCATTTTTATGAGAGTTACCTGGGACTAACTCTGTTTACCAGTTAACTTTTATATAAGAAAGTTATTTTTTGAAATAATGGTCATGACTTTGGTTTATTTTTGATACAAATTAATAAAATCCAAGTCTGTAAAATTCTATAATAAAACATATTTAAAGTCACATTTTAATTACTGTGAATAAAAAAATCTCCAGTGAACTTGTATTCTTGAATCTGCGTTATCAAAACTTTGTAATGAAACAAGCATCTGCATCTAATTTGGATAGCTGTGCTTCTCTTTGTGCAGCATTTTATTGCCATACTTCACAACACTGTTTTGGCGGTGAGATACTGGTTTTGGCACTCTGAGAGTGCGGCTTTTGCTATATTTTATTATTTTCTTCCTATCCAATAGTATTTAGAGCCAAATTCTGTTTTGTTCATGTGTATAGACTTAAGGCACAGACAGGATCTAAGTGATTATAGTGAGCATGTCTTATGTATCTGGGATCACAGCTGTTGGATTGGGACGGACGCCCCAGCTGTGTCATGGCTGTTTGTCATGATGAGACCTGTGTGTTTATTCTGCACCTCCTGTACTTTCTTTTCCATTGAAAACACCAGGATCAAGGGCAAAAGGACATATATATGTGGTGGCTGTTGTGGTCAATTATTCCAGAGTCTGTTTCCCTCTGACTGAATCTGTGCTAATACATTAAGCAGTCTCCTAGAACATGTTTGAATACTAGAACATCTAGGTGATCTATACTGCTAAGTTTTTAAGACAGTCCCTGACATGGTTTTGACTTGGTCCAGCTTGTACACCAATTCACAGTCACAGCTGGAAGTTAGCATGGGCCAGAAACTCTTCAAAATAGGCATGAACTGTGTTTTGGAGACTAAGCTTAATATTATGAAATAATCAGATGATATTAAGTGATGCTGGGGCTGCAGGATACGTGTTGTCACTGTTTGCTTCACTAGTATAGATTCAGCAAGTCCCTGTCCGGATGGGACTTGCAACGAATTGTTCCACAGTATTTGACCAGTCTAAGAGCTTTGTTGTGGTTCAGAAATATTCTTTTCAGCTGGAAAACTGATAGTTGTCATATACACTCCATTTAGAACAGAAACAGTACTCAGTGGCCACCTTCATACTAGTACGGACAGGGCCAGTATGTGGCCCTTAGCTCTGGCATATGGTTGAACAATTTTTTTATATTTTTATTGTAGTCGCTGATACATTTTGGCTGATGCCAGCTGGCACTCTGCCAATGTCCTTGGAGGGCAGCATTTCCTATGAGCTATATAGACTATCCCATGAAGAGTGTTTAGGTAGGGATAAGAGCCATTCTGGGCCTTATGTCCTCATATTCCTGGACCTTTTTAGTGTGTTGGTACAGATATAGCCAGTGAGACTGATTGAAGGCTAAATACAAAATGAAAGCTGAAAGGGATGTTGTGAATTGTTTTATGTCTAACCAACTTCTTCCCTTATACATTTGCTGATAGAATCCCATCAGGGGAGAGATCAGACTAATGGATTCTTAGCACCTTTTATATTTCCACTGCACTTACAGCTTTTACATCTGAGGACAGGTTTTAAACTGGAGATTTATGTTTTCCTACTTTGGTGTTAACACTAGCAGCAAATTTTTTGTTCCTGCTGGTTCCTCATCACAGAACATATGTTGCTGTCAGATCAAAGGCAGAAGGGGGGTGTGAAAAAGTGTACGTAACACTCGGGAGGTACAAGAGAATCACTTGTGTACAGCCCCAAAACCAAGTAATTCCATATTGTGTAACAGAGGTGGGTGGAAAACTAGCGTAATGATAGTTATTACTAGTTTTAGTCTGATCAAATTCTGTTATTTGCTCTGTCAGTAGCCATTGGATGAATAAATCAAAGTTACATAAAAGTGTATAATTACTTGAGCATCATTAGTGATGCGCAGAGGGCTTTATATGGCATAAACTAAAACTAAGTGTTGCCAGGAATGACTGTTTTTCAGTAAGCGGGGAAAACAGGTTTAAAATTGCTGGCTTACTAACTATAAATACTTAGGTCTTTTTTTTTGGCTTGGACTCCTATGTGGAAAATCTTTTTTGATCCCAAATCTCAATTTTCCACTTCTTAGTTTAGCAAGTATTGGAGATGCTGTGGCAGCAGCTTGTTTTCTCAGGGGAGAGAGCTTATCAGGCCATTTCACGACGACTTCTCTGGTTGAATAAATTGTGCCAGTTGCTTCAGAACAGAATCTCCTTTGGACAAAATTATGAGTCAATGTGACGTAGGTTCTCTAGGACAGAAAACACGGAATGGGGAAAATTTGGGGATTTTTCAAATAGGGCAGATTTTCCAAAATACTAATAATATAACATATTGTACTGAACAAAGATAGCAGCTGAGACTGGGACTAGTGTTTATATTTAAACAATGCTGTGAGAATAAACTATTATTTTAAACATCTTGCATCAGCTAATGATATATGATTTATTTTTTTCTGCAGATTAAACCAGTAGTGCATAGTACTATCCGTGTGCCTTCCAGATGGCAATGTTTCTATAATAAGCCACGTAATATCAAGTAAGTGTTATAAAGCAGACATTTACACTTGGTTTTAAGTTTTGTGCTCTGATAGTATATGCAAACTCCCAAATGTCTGTGTTCAGTTAAAACTAAATGTTTGTAGTGAAACTCTGGTATACGAATCATTATTCAGAATGGTTGAATTCTGTTTGTATTTACATACTTCATAGATCCTACTGATTTAAATTAGATTTGGATGCTATAAGAGTATACCAATTTTTTCATGAAGTGTTCTTAAGGAAAAAAGAAGTGAGAATGACAGAATATATTGTGTGCCATTGTTTAGTGTTAGTAAAATACAAATATGGATATATATATATATAATATTCCAAACTATAATATGATACAAAATGCGCGTATGATGGAAAACATGGTAAAATGACATTTAATCCACGAGTTATTTAGAAAATATCTACTGGAATCATAAAGCAACATGGTGATTTCTAACATAGTGGTGTGTCCTGAATGGAAAATATGAACAAGCAGTTGTCTTGGTTGATAACAAAATCTGTTTTCTTATAGATTTGTGTCCCATATTCGATAAACTCTCTCAGGAAAACAGGCAAAATGATAAACCACACGTCTCTTCCATGTGTCTCAGCTCGCCCTCACTAGCATGAGAAAAGGTTGCACTGTGGCTGCTGTTCTGACAGTAAATTGTCCTTCTCAAAGCTTTGTGAATGATAAATCTGTTGAAGGGTTGGCTGGTTAAAGCCAATACTCTTTAAGTTTTACCCAGAAATAAATACAAAGCTATGTTAATGCTCAGCTTTGATGTAGGAAACGATACCATCAGGCTAATGTTATAATACTTTTTTTTTTCTGTAGTGAAGCCATCATACATAATTCTAATGTCAAAACCAAGACCTAAGGTTAAAAAATGTAAATTTAAGAGCGTCTCTGACTTTGTATATGTGCTGAATTGCTCCTTTAAGGAACGGAAAAATGTGTTCATTGAATAATTCTCAAACACTGTATGTCTCCCATAGGTAAATAAAGATAAGAGAATTTAAGGATGCAAAAAGTTCTTCAGGTCATGTAATTCATTGCTATGGCTGCCATGCCTCATGCTCTATATTATTTTCTTTGCCTAGTCTAGATTTATATGTTTCTAGGGATGAAGTTTCTAAATCATCCCTCAGAGGATTATTCTGCTCTTTTATATTTCACAATGATAATAAGTTCTATGTTTTCTATACTTAATCTACAAAAGTTGTGTCTACTTGCAGTATATTTAAGAAAGTAAATGAACAAGAGGTTGAGAGTTTTTTTGGGGGCAAATTAAAGGCTTTGTTTCACTGTATAATCCCAAGGGTTTATATTAATATACTGAAAGCTCCACTAGATGGCCCCAAACTTCTTTCCAAATACGACCTCTGTTATTTCAAGATGATGTTTTAAAGTGGCATCCAGACATAAATATTTGCTCTTGGCTGAAACTTGACACACTGTGCTAGGACTTGTTGTAGGCCTCTTTTTATTTTTTATTTTTTTTAGCTTAAAAAAGTTTGAGTACATGTCTTGAAAAGTATTTTCCTTGCCACAGTAGTTTTACCTGTATAGGAGGTTGTATTAATGGCACTGCAAAGCTAAATGGGTGATTAAAATATAAAATGTGTTCATGTGATCTCCAAATAACAAAACATTTAATTGGCAGTTACAAAAGAAAAGGAAGGAAAAAGCTGTTCCATATTGAGCATTAAAATCTTTTCTGGATAAAGTATTAATAAATGTTAATTAATTGAATTTTGTGCTGTTTAATTATGCTAAGTCCCTTACACTGCACAGAAGCAGTTTCAGATTCCTATTTGATTTACATGGGTAATTATTAAAGGATGGTGGGGTGGAAGGTGCATAAGATGCTGTCTAAAGCACCTCAGAACAGGTTTGCCCAACTGTCAGTATGAAATTGCCAGTTTCAGCTGTCAGTATGAAATTGCTAGTTTCAGCCTAGACTGAAAATCCTCCTTTGAAACAGTGTTTTCTGCAGCTGTAGGTTTTTCAGTGCTGGCTTCTGTACAATTCATTTTTTTTTTCTGTCCCAGAACAAGGGAATCTGCTACCATAGTTGGTCAGTTCCTTTTCTTTTTCTTAAGATGGGCTTCTCAGTGACATTAGGCTGAATTGGCTTTCTGGCACCATGATTGTTTTGAGGGAGAGATTGGGTATAACAGGATATTGAATTTATGGTAGCAATTAAAAAGAGAATAAAGTAGTTGAAAAAAAAGTTTGCATGCATTAGACACAGAGTCACGAACAGTTGAGGTTGCAAGCGGACCCTGAAGATCATCTAGTTCAGACCCCTGCTGAAGCAGGGTCAAAGGCTGTGTTGGCCAGGGCAATGCCCAGTCAGGTTTTGAAATTCTCCAAGGATGGAGGCTGCACAATGTATCTGGGTAACCTGTGCCAGCGTTTGACTACCCTCATGGTAAGAAAAGTTCTTACTATGTTTAAGTGGAATTTCCTGTGTTTCAATTTGTGCCTATTGTCCTGTTACTGTAGGCCACTGAGAAGAGTCTGGTGTCATCTCCTTCACTACTCCCCATCAGGTGTTTATGCACATGCATGAGATCACCACAAACGTTTTCTTCTCAGGCTCTCTCTGCTTCTGGTATGTCAATGTTCCAGTCTCTTCGTCATCCTTGTGGCTGGACTTGCTCCAGTGCATCCATGTCTTTCTTGCACTGAGGAGCCCAGCACTGGATGCAGCACTCCAGATGTTGTCCTCTCAGTGCTGACTAGAGAGAAGGATTGACCTCCTTCCACCTGCTGGTGATGTTTCCTATTGCTGCCCAGGATACAGTTAGCTTTCTGTGCCACAAAGGCACGTTGGTGGCTTGTGATCAATTTGTTGCCCAGGTTCTTTTCCCCAAAGCTTCTTTTGAAGTTGTTTCCAGACTTTGCAGGTGCCAAGGGTTATTGATCCCCAGGTGCAGGACTTTGCATTTCTTTTTGTTGCTTTGTGAAATTCCTGTTGGCCCATTCTCCAACCCTTTGGAGTCCCTCTGAACGGTGGCACGGCCGCTGGTGGCAGCGGCCGTTCCTCACAGTTCTGCAGTGTGTGCAGACTGGCTCCGGGTGTGCTCCGTTGCATCGTCTAGGACATGGACCCCAATACTGACCGCGGGGCGCAGCACTGGTCACGGGGCTCCAGATGGGGTTTGTGCCGCTGATCGCAGCCCTTGGAGTCTGGCTGCTCAGCGAGTTTTCATCCCACTTCACTGTTCACTTACCCAGTCCATACTTTATCAGGTTATCAATGAGGATGTTATGGGAGATGGTGTTGAAGACCTTGCTAAAGTCAAGAAAAACAATTTGTCTCCCCTCATCCTTGGAACTGGACTTTTCATCATAGAAGGCTAACAGGTTGGCGAAGTGCCCTCATAAATCTGTGCTGATTACTCATATTGTGCTCATTTGTGCTGGGGATCATGAGGATATCTTTGAATAACATGGAGACAAAGTAAATGAAATTTAAAGAGTATATTTTGCTTTTGACTCATCTGTCACATCAGATGGATGCGAGCATATCAAGGATACCATTTTTTTTTATGAATGAGTTCTAAAGTTGAATGAAATAGCGAAAGATTAAAAATGAACTGTTGAAATCAAACTGGCAGTACTAATAATTATCCAGGCTATCACATATTGTTAAATTTATACATTTTGTCTTTCTATTTTTTATGACTTTCTTAACTGAGGAAAGATACCCTCTTTGCTTTTTGGCAGTGTTTTCACCAATGGAGAGATGATCAAGCCACCTATAAAATTTTTAATACCAAGGTTTACTCTGAAAAACTGGAATTGTGTCCTTGCCCTAATTAATGAAAAAATGCTTCTTCGTTCAGGAGGTATTAACAGGTGAGGAACAATGATTAATATGCCTAATAAAAATGCTCACTCTGGCAGTGTATCACTGTTCAAATGTCAGGCACATAGCACACATCAGGTTATGGTGTTACACTGTTTGATCAGCAATATAGCAATATATAAAGAAGCAATATATCAAAAGCAGGTTTTTTTTTTTGAAACTCTGAGAGTTTACAATCCTTAAAATGTATATCTCTTTTTTTTCATTGTGTGTGGCCACAGTACAGACAATCATACATTAACTCAGTCTGTGTTTCCAGCCAGCTGGAATCATGGATGCAACTAATAAGCAATCATATAACACCAAACATGAAGATATACCCTGATATATTTTGCTGTTATATAGTAGCATTTGGTCTGATATTTCTAGAGCATTGGTGTATGCTATGTTTAACTTTAAGAAATGGACATCCTAGTAAACTCCAGCAGTTAATTACAAGATTATAGAAATCATAGAAAGGATTCTTACAGCTACACAGAGGTATGTCAGTAAGATTAAATGGACAAGTGTTAATGTAGTAAATACAACATTAAATGCTGTTTCAATTGTGAAGCAGGATTTAAAATTTAAAATTATGGTGCAGAGGGATTGTTTCTCAGGTCAATTGTTTCTATTAATGATTATTTATTTTTGATCATATTCAGTTTGTAAACAAAAAAATTATGAGTAAGTTTCTCATGAGTGAGCTTGTAGTATATCACTTGAGAAATTAAACAAGATGAAAGGCTTTTACCTTTTTAGAGAAAGCTCTTAATTTCTCAGGACAGAAATGAAATTCTTTATCTTTTGTGCTTAGAAATCTTCCATCTAAACATGAAAAAATGCCTTTTCTGTATGTGATCTTTGCTCTAATTGTAAGGCTCAGAGCTTACACTTCAGAGGATCCTCTTGGGGGAAATTTCAAGGTGTGAAAATCTTACAGGTGTTACTATGTCCGTCTTATTTATTTTAACTTCAGAATGGCTTAGTGATTCTTTCTGAAGCAACCATCTTTCTAAACAACTGTTCTGCTGAGATCTATCTATATGTTGAAAATGTTTACCTGCCGGCAGAATTGTTCTTGAAAGCTACAACTAAAAAGGGAATTTACACTGATCTGTTTTCTTTGTTACATTATTTGTCCATATATCACTCGGGACCCGTGCTTATTTAGACTTGGTTAATTGTTCTGCTTCCATATCTGTAATAATATTTAAAGAATTCAGGACTGCAAACTACAAAACCACACATTTACAGCTTGTGAATACATTACATTCCACAGAGAATATTGCTTCTTTGTAGAAATCATTTTGGAACTTTAGGGTGTATTATTCTACAGATGTCTGTCTCACTGTCTTCCTTCACATAGGACCTGCTGTTCCAGGCTTTACAGGCTAAGTAGACTTGTTAATTAATGTTTTGGTTTGGAACCTGAATTTTATGAGCATGTTATTGTGCTCTTTTTTTTTTTTTTTTTTTTGAATTGTGGTTTTGTGTAGCATTGAAAAACTGCTGATGCTTGTACTGAATTATCTTCTGTTTACCTCATAGCATTTATTTCTCTTTTGAGAGAGTGCACATATAAGCAAGTGCTGGAGTTGTTAGCCTCGTTATTCACTATGGGGATGCATTTCTTCTCCATTTTCTCTATTTGTGCCTCGTCATATAAAGGAGAAGAATACACACCTCATCACCTATCTTTTATCCTCGGCACAGTAGTTGGGTCACAGTGATTTTTTTTCCACGGCTCATGTTGAGTTTGTGGGCAAGCCTACGTCCTACTTGCCTCAATCATCTCCCATTTCCTCTAATATGCTGACAAATTTAGTATACTTGTGTTTTGTGCCATGGTTTGCCTATATGCAGTGCAGAAGAGAATGCAGTTGGAGCATGCCCCAAGCCTTCCTCCTTTTACTGTGGTTCGTGCTACGGTAAAATAGACATGGCAAATGCTTCCCTTTCAGTTCCCCTCAGTCTATTTGCTCTATCAAGCCACTTTTCTGTGTTTCTTGTTGCATAAGACTGTCTTGCCTTTATTTCTTTGCCACTTAGACATATTTCAACTTCATTTAATCTTCTTATCAAGACAGTTTCTTATTGCTGCCAACATACAAACTTCTGAGTTGAGATACTAAAAGGTATTGACAGCTGTTTGAGATCCTCTGGGATATCATGTCCTTTCTGTCAGAATCATGATGGAAGGAGGAATACACCCCTATCCTGGGAAAGAAAGGGAGGGGACTTGGTCCTATCAGGTTAGCTCTGAAGCCAATTAATGCTTTTTCTCTGCCATTCCCATTACATTTTGGAACAAGGTCTCTTTCCTAGGTCCTTAGATATACCTGGTGTTTTTTCCTGTTTCAGAACAGAATGAGCAGGCTTAGCAAGTGCTTTAGGAAGAATCAGAGACTTCAGAAAGAGTCAGAGACTTTTCCATTAATGTCTTCCTTTCCACATTGGATTCTTTTTCTCTAATGATTTCTCAGTTAGATCTTCTCAGAACTTGTCTGGCTGGATAATTTTGGTGTGTACACCGCTGTTCCCTGCTGTCGGGTAGCAGGGTGCGTTAATTAGCACCGTGTTTGAGTCTGCATTTGACCCTCTAAGTACTTTTATTGGTATTATCAGCTTTTCACTGATCTTATCTGCTTGCCTTCTGTATTTTGGATAGCTTTAACAAATGGCCTAGCCATTTTAGAGTGAACCTTTCTTCATAAAACAGTGGGTGGGAATTACCATATCCTTTTGTCAGGGTGTGCTTTCTCAGTCTCATACTTGTCCCTGAAGTTGGTTGCAGTAGCATGAATGCTCAGAGAAATGCAACAAGCTGTGGAAGATCTTCCCTTAAAGATCTGAAAGGAATATATCAGTCTCTGGAGTGGATGTGTCTGTCCTCAGACAATTTTAAGTCCATGTCTGGCAACTCTGAAATTCATGTGTCTTTATATCTAGATTACCCTTTATGCATGTGTTTAGGTGTCAAATGCGTCTTCACACCTACCAAATAAGATGTTGATGTAAATCTCTATTCTGGTTATGATCTCAACCTTCTTCCAGGGATTATAGTGCCTGATTAACATTTGTAAAAAGTTACCTTTGAGACATATATCCTGTCAGAACTACATTTGTACTATGCGGTGCTGCCTACCTGGTCATCCTATGGTCCAAACTGCTCAACCAATGTTAAGCCTCATTTACATATCCACATTTTTGAGATGTGGAAGGTTTGGAAAATGTGTTGGAGTCTTCTTCCCAATGTCATGGTACATGACATGTTTAGGTGATGATTACTCCTACTATGTTCTATATAAAAGAGGAGACAGATGTCACCTTCTCTCAGGAAAAGAATCTCCGTCACATAGTATCCATTTATTTTCTTTGGAATTTAGACATGTGTGTTGGACATTTCAGTTTCAGTCTTTACTGGAAAATACAGACTGATATGCCTGAGGTAAGCTTCTTCCAGGAGTCTTCATATATCCTATGTTATGCTCTTTTTTTAATGGAGCTACTGAACGTGAGAGGGGTACTATGTGTGGTGGAGGTGCAATGGGAGCTAATCCACAGGGAAACCACTACAGGACTTCCCAAAGACTCTGGCTTGAATCCTAAGTAATAAGCACATACAGTTTGAGTGTGGTTGAACTACTGATTTACAGTTTCTGTTTCTTTTGATAACAGGTTGTACACGTTGGATGGTCGTGCTGTGGAAAGCTCAGATGGCTTAGAAGATAATCATTTTTATGTTGCAGTGGGCAGAGAAAAATTTAAACCATTACCATACTGGTGTTCCTCTAGGGTACCTTCTGAGGTTCGGTGGTAAGTGTTTTCTTGGTTCA